ATCGAGCGAGATAACATAATCAAGTGAACGAGCTTTTTTGTCAAGCAATTGGATCTCTATGAAAAAGATTGTTTGACCCCTGTAGTCGACCAACCTACGCATTCAGTGGTCAATCGACACAGCCGGTCGACCTCAAAGACTTTGGACAATCAACCGATATCATCTTTTATGTTTGTTACGATGTAATCTTTATTTTGACAGATACGTCGATTCAATCATTCAGACGGGTATAGTAACTGTTTATTACTTATATGTAATTGTATTCTGAGACCTCTATAAATAGGACGTCATGACATCAATAAGGGGACATTCCGAATTTATACACGGGAAATCTCTTGCGCTCTTGAACTCTCTCTCTCTCTCTTCACTTGCCTCCTTTCAGCTCTTAACTCTCAGGGCATGTTTTCCTAGAAGAAAATTTAGGATTCACCCTATAATATAATTCCTTTCCAAAATTATGGTTAGGAAAGCTGCAACCTGGAAATTCAAACAAGATATTAATATTTTGAAAGCAAGCTAGCACTAAAATTTAGGATTCAACATATAATATAATTCCTTTCCGAAATTATGGTTAGCAAAGCTGCAACCTGGAAATTCAAACAAGGTATTAATATTTTGAAAGCAAGCTAGCACTAATCCAATCTTAAATGAAAAGCCCATATATGAGCTAAAGACTTTAGTAATAAGTAAAGGGGAAAAAAAGACATCAGCTCATAATCTTAAAGGTAGAAGATGATTTTATAAATCTGTTAAATTTACTTAGGCTTATAACAATACGGCTCATGTTTCCTGTAAAACAAGAAGTGAGCAAGTATCAGTGGCAGTGTAAGCTAATATGTGTAAAATTCTATCTTAGATGCTTGTCATAACTTCTCATCATCGCTATCCTCATCAATTTTTTTCGCACAACTACTAAGATAAAAACCAAAGAACGATAAAAACTAGGACTTAAGAACAACATAGCACACAAAACTAAAATGTTATCAGTTAATATTATATTAGTTGGAATATGGCTTAAAAACAATACCCCAGATGAAGCACAACATACTATAAGAAATAGTATGGGTATCCGTCCAGACATTTATAACCATCCTGAGTAGCTAGAAATAACCAATTAAACAATTCATCACTATTCTAGAAAAGGAATATGAAAGGTAAGCCAACTTCTTATTACAATAGCCAATACCAACGAGCATGGAAAGCCAATAGATGATACATAGAGTAATAAAAAGTAGGTGTAAACTATTCATCAACATACAAAATTTGCTAATTTCACGCCTTTCCTAGTTTTCTCCCCATTAATCTTCTGATTAAACTATGTATATCTATAAATAAAAAAGGCTGAATGTGAAATGGCTAATCCTGGAAGAGAAACAATTCAATAAGTTTGTGCAACCAAGATGTATCATGTCTGCCAACTCAGGATTAGAATTATAAATCCCACACTCCATACCCACCTTTTGAATAACAATTGGTAACCAAGATTGTATGAAAGCCAGAGGCATCTCCAAACTCTAACAACCTCCAAAAACTACTATATGCAAACAATAGTCAGAGATGAATCACTAAAATAAAATAACAAAACAAAATTTTACTACAGCACTACAGAAAAAAAGCACAAAAGAAAATGACTAATTTGTCCCTTTCATAGAGAACTACTAATGCACATGAGGCATGGAGAGGGAAGATGAAACCCCCAATCATAAATCTCTCACTCGATGAAAATTTAAAAAAAATAGCACTTAGAGCATTACATTTATATCTAGAGAGAGTTTGGGCACAAGAGAGGCAAAGAAGTTTCATGTGATTGCGCGAAGAAAAGCTAAACTCTTCATCACATGTAAGCCAGGAAGCACTTAACTGTTACCGATCAATCTTTTTAACATGAAAGGTCATAGCCTTTGTAATCTTCTCAAACTTAGAGATTTTATTTTGGAAACTGCACACTAGATACTTGTCTTGATTTTAGCCTTTTGTACTCCAATAAGCGAGAAATATCAAAATATCTAGAGAAGGAAAATAATGACAAAGGTGTTAAAAGTCTACAAGCTTGAGCGCAAACCCATCTTCTATCTCATTGAGAACAAGGTAGAGATGGAGAGACAAGAAGCTTTGACATGCTGAGATTTGAACGAGGTTAGGTGGGACGAATAGCTTTGGGGTGTTTCGGTGATGCTGGATTAATAAAAGACAAGAAACCGAAGGGAGGAGATCTTCTACTTAAAGAGAGGCTACCTGCTGCTGGAATTGGTTTGGAGGTGAGGGTGCAGAGGGAGCATCAACGTGGAGATAAGGTGTGCAAGTTGGATAGCCAAAATGAACAGTGTAGCACCTATGATTAATATAGGAGTGGCAAAGAAAATTGCGTGTGGGTTCTGTGATCATATTTGGTAACCCTTATGTGAGTTTCTATTCCATGATAGTGAAGAGGAATAGAGGGTGATATGAGCGTAGCAGATTGTGGAATTGTTCTTTTATAATTTTTTAGGTGATATTAAAATAAATAAATAAATAGATTTAGGTGTTGAATATGAAAGGAAGAATGTTTTAGGTTGTATGTATGTAAATCCCCATAAAAAATAATTAATTTAGAAATGTGATTGACACTTTTCTTCATTAATGATCACCCACATTTCCTTTTAAAGTTTTCCCTTTTTTTATTTAAATTTGGTCAATTTAATCTTTATAAATAGGGTCTGTATGTAATGAACTTGTTAAGCTTTTAGAATGAAATATTTTGAGTGAAAATCTGTTCTATTTTTTCTTGATGTTTTGTGGCTTCAAGTGTGTATCTTTTTTGGTAAGAATAGACATTTTTCATTTTCTTTAAATTATTTACTTTTCCTTCTCAGCACTTGATATAAGTTTTTCACCACTTGCACATCTTAAGCATCTTCTAAGATTCACAAACCAACAGCCAAAGCCCTCAATCAATCTAAACACCTCCTCATAGCTTTCAGCCAAGCTAAAGAATACTAAAACCTAATCTTGTTCTCTATTCCCCAACACTCTTATAAGCACATCTAAATCCAACCATTCACAATAAATCATAAATACACATCCTAAACTAATCAGCGATATGCATTTCCATCATTTGTCCACCTTAAACTATTTTCATAAGGAGATCTTTCAACTCAGCCTAAATTAGCATAATCTTGATTAATCTTGGCATTGTAACCACTATAACATGTCTTTAAAAAAGTATATAATTCCTATTTTTAGATATTAAACTAATTATTCATAGCTTTTTCTAGTTCTTAATCTTACTAAAGAACAACCTACCACCATCATTTTGATATCAGAGCTTAGAACAAGTGTTATGGCAGACTAATGAATAAATTAAAAAAAAAAAAACTTTAAGTCTTACCTGACGAAAGACACACTTGAAGTCGTTAAGCACTAACCTAAAATAGAGCAATTTTTCATACAAAATATTTTGTTACAAAAATTGAATAAGTTCATTATATACTAGCTCTATTTATAGGGATTTTAATGACTAAAGTCCAATGAAAAGAACAGGAAAATTTTGAAGAGAAAGTTAGGTGGTCATTAATAGGGTAAGGTGTAAAACTTTTTCCTAAATTAATTATTTTTTTATGGTCTGCCCATATAAGTTCTAACCACAAGACAATTCAAACCTATTAGAATTTAAATTTAAAAAATAAAATCTAATGTTTAATTATTTCCTCATGACGGTTCTTGTGATGGGGCTTGAATGGGCTCTTGCTCGAGCACTTTCTTGATCTTATGCTTAGGCTACTATAATTTGACCTTTGGCTTTATTTGTTTGATCCAAATTTCTGTGCTACATTAATAAAAGTATTTAGTGTTGACTCCTTAGTAGATAGGATGTTTCCGAATCTTTTTACTAGTCGGGTAGAAATTAGAGAAAATTTTATTATCAAAGCCCTACATTCACCAAGCTTTAAGCAAAGAGATTTAAATGTGTTGTTTTGTAGTTTTAATGTATAAAGAAATTTAGTTTCTCAAGCTTTCACTTTATTAGTCTCTTGCTTATGTGCTCTTATTATTTCTCCAACAATTTATGTTAATTGTCGTAATGTGCTTGTCGTTTTCTCATTATAATATTTTATTTTTAAATAAAAAACTAAAATAATATTTTATAAGCTAGAACTTGCAATCCATTTAAGATTATTAAGCAACTTCGAATTAATGAATACTATCTTGATTTTTTTGGTGACATATTATTTAGTTTAATTTTCAACATTGAGGATTCCTTTATCATACAATGGAGGTAACCAATCTCCACATTTAAATATAAATACTCTTGCTAGAGATAAGTTTTATCAATTACAAGTGCCTTGATACCCCACTTTCTTAAAGATGGAGTCAATCATTATCGATGAAGTTTCTATAGATCAAAGTGTAATGAAGGTTTTGATTAATTGAAAGAAAAAATCACCAAGTGAAGTTACTTGGTTGACAAGAGAGAACTTATAGGAACTAGCTCCAAAACTTGTGGACTAACTAAGTAATCTCGTTGAGATGCCTATTTTGACTATAGTTTAGTCATCAAATGGTCTTGTGAAATTTTCAATTATGCTTTTCAATGTTTGACTTAGGCCAATTTGGACTTAGATCTAGTTGTCATTTAGTATTATTGAGTTTATCTCTTCGAGATGCTTTTTTTGAATATAAATTTGCTAAATATGAAGTTTGAATGATCTCGAACTTCATTTTGGAAGTTTCATGTTTACATATTTGTTAGTTTTGAGATCTAAAAAAATTGCATCAAGATGTGAATTTTACTAGAATTATTTTTTTGGTGATATATCAACAACTACTATTAGGTTCTATCCAAATGAAAAATACTCAATTCACTAGATATGTACTAAAAATATCATTCCACTTTAGATTCCCTTTCTTATTTGGATTTCCTATTTTTCTGCAGATCTTATACAGATGTCTGGCATTTTTTTAGAAATTTACTGTACTTTATTCGTTTTGTTTATTCAGCTATTGACTTTGAGATTTGGCAGGTTTTGATGGTTTCTCTAGTTATGATGAACGTAGAGAACGAAAGTCTGATTTGGAGTACTCTGAAGATGAGAGGAAGACAAGAAGGGGATCTTTAAGGAAACGGGCAATTGATGCTTCAACTATATTTAAGCACTCTTTGAAGAAGAAAAAGTCCAGGAGAAAGAGTGATAACAGAGTTACCTCTCTTTCAATTGAGGATATAAGGGATATAGAGGAGCTTCAAGCTGTCGATGCATTTCGTCAATCACTAATTTTAGATGAGCTGCTGCCTGCAAAGCATGATGATTACCATAAAATGTTGAGGTACTTCAATTGTTATTTTTGTTACTTCGATTTGTGTTGTTGTGATTCGGCACACGTAGTAATTCATGCTCTTTCCAACCCTAGATTCATCCCCAATGAGATTACTCTTTCTGTTATGAAATTTTTTCTAAAAAACTTGAGGCCTAAGGGGATGGTTTAGGATTCCCCAGTTATCCTCCTTATCTTCATGCCATAATAACTTATGGAAGGTTATTTAGGAGAAATGTTTCTCGCTTTCTTCAAAATCAATACAACTTTAACACTTCCTGGTGAAAAGGAAAATGGTGCATCAATCTTACAATAACACATAATATAATTTGGCGGTGAAAGACATATTGACTCAGGGTGCAAAGAAATTTTAAATATTTGAGAGCCTCTGTGGACCTAAAATTATTTTCCTTTGAATGAACATCATAATTTTCATTCCAAGTTTATTCTCATATCTTAAACCCTTATAACATACATATGTAAACTTAGGTTTTTGAAGGCTCGCAAGTTTGATGTTGAGAAAGCAAAGCAAATGTGGGCTGAAATGCTTCAGTGGAGAAAGGAGTTTGGGGCTGATACGATTACAGAGGTAACATATTTTCTTATCCATGATTTGTTTTAAATAAGCAACTTGGACTAGGATTTCAGATCTGCAAATAATATCTCATTACTTAAAAATAACCATGTGAAACATCGTTTATTATACCTACATCTCAAAAGAAGTATCCATGCAAACTTTGACCTATGCAAGCTGCACCCCCCCTGACAGCCGTGGAAAATAAATTTTGATTGCATCTGGCCTGTGGATCCTATTGGTCAGATGCATGCCAGTTAAAGCTGTGCAAATATGGTTAGCATTGTTTTATACTTTTATTTGTTTTAGAGAATTATCACAGTTTTTGGCAATGAAATGATCACAGTTGGTAAATTCCGGTTTCCGTTGCACCTATAAAATTCTTTTCTTATTTTGCATTCTATTAGCTATTGCGCTAGGTGATACCTTATCCATTTATACGTTTGCTACCATAGAAATAGAGCCCCACATAAATGTTTCTAGGGTTTAGACTTGCCTTGACACTATGCCATGCAATTTATTGGCATTGTGTGGTTCTGTAGCTTACTGAGTATTGCTTAATGTGCCATCTTACAATTTTTTGCTTTAATGTCCTTGTCATAGAATTTTGTAGAGGCATCCTTTTTTGGTTTGCTTGCATTACACTCCCTTAAATGAAGCTGCTGATGTGCGAGGCTGCTCTAAAAGAAGCCTATTGAGCTTTGATGTCCTTTAGATATTCTTATGATTCATGCCATCAGAGTAATAATTCTTTACATTTTGGGCTGTTAATACATGTTTGACGTCTTCTTTTTTGTTGCAGGATTTTCAGTATGAAGAACTACCTGAAGTTCTGAAGTACTATCCGCATGGTTATCATGGTGTAGACAAGGAGGGGAGGCCAGTTTACATTGAGCAGTTGGGAAAAGTTGAACCAAACAAGCTTATGCATGTTACAACCATAGACCGATATGTACGATATCATGTGAAAGAGTTTGAGAGGAGCTTTTTAATCAAATTTCCTGCTTGTTCAATTGCTGCAAAACGGCATATTGATTCTAGTACAACTATTTTGGATGTGCAAGGGGTGGTAAGTTATTTTTTTTTCCCATTGTATGTTCTGCGGTTGAAAATATTGTTTTCTGGTTGCCTTTTTGACTTTTTTCTTTTTTCTGTCAATAATAGAGTTTGAAAAACTTTAGCAAGACTGCAAGGGAGTTGATTCAAAGGTTACAAAAAATTGACAATGATAATTACCCTGAGGTATGCTATCTGATTACCTTAATATTTAAATGTTTTTTTTTTCATTAACCAAGCTTCAGGCACTTGCCATAACACATTTGAGGAACTCTTTCATATATGCTTTTAATGTACATGCAGACATTATACCGCATGTATATTATCAATGCTGGCCCCAGTTTTAGATTGTTATGGAACACTGTAAAATCATTCCTTGACCCCAGGACAACTTCAAAGATAAACGTGGGTTATGGTTTTTCCTCACCTTTGCCTCATTTTCTTTCTTTTTCCAGTGATCATTAGAATAATATGATGACTTCTGTTTGCTTAAATTTCTTCAGGTTATTGGTACCAAGTACCAGAGTAAGCTTCTAGAAGTAATTGATACCCGGTATCCATTCTATACTAGATTTTCTTGTTAATAACATGATTCCTATTATTTCAAACTTTAATTTATTTTTTTTGGGTTTTCAATTTCCTCTAGTGAGTTGCCTGAGTTTTTCGGTGGTACCTGTACCTGTGCTGATGTGGGTGGATGCTTGAAAGCTGAAAAGGGCCCATGGAAGGACCCTAATATTTTGAAGGTCAACATTGGCCAATCCTTTGTATTGTTTTTTCTTTGCCATAATGTTAGTCATTGTGATTAATCTTTACAATGATGCTAATGGACATGCAGATGGTTCTTAGTGGAGAGGCCCAATATGCCCGGCAAATAGTAACTGTTTCTAGTGGAGAAGGAAGGATCATTGCTTATGCTAAGCCACAATATCCAGCAGTAAGGCTTTTTTCTTCATTCTTTTCTTAAGTCTAAATGATTCTATGTTCTGTAAATGTTAAAACTCGTTCCCTTGCTTGGCCAGGTGAAAGGAGGTGATAGTTCCACAGCTGAATCTGGATCAGAAGTAGATAATATTACATCACTCAAATTAGTAAAGCCTTCTGTCTCATACAACCGCCTAACCCCTGTGCAAGAATTCGTAAGATTTACTTTGCACCAATCTATCTCCTTCTTTCTCTGCACCCTAAAACATACGGCCATTAACCCAAGTAACCAGAACCACGAGTATTAGTTTATGTAGGGATATAGTCACCAATGTGACTAGCTAGAATCTGAACTTTGCAATGACTAAAGATACTTTGAGATGGACTTAAATTTCTTTTTAATATTATGACTGTTTACGGTTATGTACATTTTAGCAGTTTCTTTCTCGATTTTGCTCGCTTATTCATTATGATTGTTTATAGTTGTTTCTTTTTGCTGCTAGTTATCTTGAACATGAGGGTTGCTAAATTATGTTGTACTCTAGAAGAAAAAGCTTGGAAAGTTGATTTATTTATTTATCTAATAGATATTTATACACAGTGCCTAGAAAATACATAAAATCTATGAAGCAAATACAACAATTTAAAAGTAAATAAAAAAAAAAAACCTGTTGTTTGAGCATGCCAGCCATTCACCCCTTGCATCCTTCCATTTTTTTTCCGTCTTGGGATCAATCCATGCCACTCTTCTTATTCAGCATACAAATCTATGGCCTCTTATAGCCATTTAATCTCGCTAACTTGAAAGTAATACATGGCTTCCCTCCTTAAATATATGAATCAGTGACTCATTGTTTTCCTTGTTTGCATATGATCCAAAGAAGATTATTTTTCCTATTTAGCATTCCTTAGCTATTTTAGCACTCCCTCAAATTGAATGGTAGAGATCTACTACTTCTACATTGTTTGAGATTTTTGTGAATCCAAGGTCGTAAAGTCTTCTGATAAATGTCGGCAAATTGGCCGCCTATTGGAACATAATAAATGCAAGTTAACCCATTTTTTATTTTTTTTATTAATGAAATTTTATCCAACTCCACATAATTTGTTCGATTATGTGTTGCCATATTGTAGGCAATAATGCTAGCTAATTTGTTGTTACAGTATATCCTCATAAGTTTTTTTTATTTAATCTTGAAATCATATGATATAATTTAATTCATACGAGTTTACTTATTTCTTGAGAGATTACTCTGAATTGAGGTTCGACACTTAACCTTGCGATTAAGCGTTAATTTTCGCTTCTCTATGTTACAAGATTTGCACCTTACAGTGTACAATATTTTGAAATATATCTTTTCATTGATGATCCCACATAGGCAATATGAATATAATCTTCAATTTATAGTTATATATTTTATAGAGAATCCCTTTTCTAGATTTGATTTTAGATTACATATTTCAAATTTTGTGATGATTTTTTTTAGTATATCATCAATATACATGATAAAAGTTAACACTTTTCCTTCGATGGAATATTTTATGAAAAGTATATGATCTCCCTGCTTTGTTTATATCTCATTCCATACATAGAATTCGCAAATCTACCAAGCCGTTCTCTTGAGAACTATTTACGGCTTTATAAGACATTTTTAATTTGAACACCTTATTTCCTACCATTTAATTATTTTCTTCCACATCCCCATATGAAAAGGCAATTTTTGTGCATATTGTTGTATAGAACATCCAAAATTAGTAGCCGAAAACATTATGATGTTAATATTATTCATTTTGACAATAACAACAAAGGTTTCTTGACATTCTATCCTATAAGATTAAGTAATTTTTTGTTTACTAAACCTCTTTATCCCTTTGCATGTTTCTATTAGCTTTAAATTTGAATGAGAAAATCTACCTGCATCTTATAATTTTTTTTTCTTTATGTGCTCAACTATCTCCCAAATATATTTTTTGAAGGCATTCCATCTCTTCTTTCATGATGTGTATTCAATTCATATTCTTATAATGCCTGAAATAGGGTTTGTGAGATTTTAGCTCTACAAAACTTATATTTATAAGAAGGCTTTATATGTAGTAGAAAAATTTTGAAGGATGTGTACAGGGTTATATGATATAGATGAGGGTGCATGTTATGGGAGTTGACGAAGTTTGAGTCTTGAGTTTGTTGAAGATTTTTTATGGGCTTTATCCTTGCACAAAACATGGATTGATTGTTGTTGTTCCGATACTGTTATAGCAGCGATATCAAGGGAGAATATATTAAATTCTCATTTAATAAGATTAATTTTGTTTTCATGATTCATGAAGATGAATTTTGTTAGAAGGAAAGTTGAAAATTCTATGTTTGGAGAGGAAAACGAGAATAGAAGGAAAAAAACAAGATAAAATGTAGGACCCTAATTTAGTTCTAATACCATGTAAAAAATGAAGTGGCTTGGAAACTTGATTTATGCATATTGTGCCAAAATAATCACTTGATTGTTTACATGGGGTCATTTCAGTCCCAGAGTCTATAAAAGTACCAAATTAGTTCCCAAGCTCTTTAAACTGTAGTTAAATGGAAAATTTTTCTGCTCATATTAAAAGATTTTTGGGAATAAATTGGCACTCCATAGATCTGGTACTAATATGACCTGCAATAAAGAGTTCGGAGACTATTTTGATACTTTTCTCCCTGATTTATTTATTCATTTGATGGGTATTTAAACACAAAGTTAACTAAAAATAATTAGAAAATATATAATCCTTAAGAAGCAATAAGAATAAGTTAAAATTTAGAGAACATGCTATTTCAAGCATGCTAGCATTGCAACCCTTGCTGCCTTCCAATTTCCATATAGCGATCAATCTTTGGCACTCTTTTTTCCTTACTCGTCATACAAATATGTGGGCCCTCGTAACCATTTAACTGTGGCAGCTAAATATCAATCCGTGGCCGTCTGGTTTCCTTTTTAGCACATGAATTAGTGGTTCATCACTCAGTTTGCATATAAATTCATAGCTTGTTACCTTATGTAGCAACCCCTAGCTGCTGTACTAGGTAATTTCAGCAAGTGCGGTCACTTTTTTTTTTGATTATGCAAATGAGAATGTTGAAGGTGTTTATCATTTAAGCTATTCTCCACGACTTCACTTTCAAAAGCCATTCAATTTCAAAAATTTTTGTATATAGTCCAAAACATTTAAAATCACAAAAATATCTCAGTATTATGTAATGCATTTTATTTTGTGCACTATATCAGTCAATCTTGTACTTGGAAACTCAATTTCAACCAGATTGTGAATTTATCTTGCTGAAGCTAATATGGGCCTGTTTCTAAAGCAATTTTGGATCTTCTTCATTTTATGAATTAGATGCAAAGTTAATTCTCTTTTTATGTTTACACTGACCTTTAAAATAGATTAAGATATCCAGCTTGTGTGCCTTTCTCACAAGCATAAATTCCGTACTTTTCAGTTAACTTCTGTAGGTTCTCTAAGAAGTATTTTGGCTTTACTTAAAATATACTAATTTATTTTCTTTTCTAACTATAATATTTGTCAGTGTCAAACTAGAAAGACATAATTATGCTGGTTAAGTTAATTTGTTGTATTTCTATAATTAAATAAAATTCCATATGTAAGAAAGATGTTCAGGTGTTTGAATTAGGTGCAAGCTTGTGCTTTTTTTTTTTTATAAATCAATGTTTTTTTACCGACACTTCCCATTTTCTCTTGCAATTTCCATGGTCATCACAAATAAAGTGAATTTATATGCCCATGCATGAACAAATTCTATCACACTACTAAAATGTACTTAAATATGCAAAATAGTTACAAACTTCTTTTTTATAATCTTTTATAAAATCAAATCGATTATATCTCTAATGCAAGTCCTAGAGCTTCCTAATTGTGTGTATCACAGTGATTTATGCTTTTTTATTTCTCATGCTGCATTATCCAGGTTATTTCAACATTTTACTTCATTCTATCATCACAATCATGCGTTTTGTGATTTTCACTCAGCTTCACTTTGTTCACATTGGAGAATTTTTAAAATCACTGGTTTAAAGAGGGCATGCTTGAAGCAGTTGTTAAGTTGCCTCTAGTGTATTTTTGAAGTCTTAGATTGAAGTTTTGGTAATTATATATCTTGAAGTCCTAGATTTGGAATAGCATATGTGCAAATAAAAATATAAACCAGCATAAAAACCGCTCCCCAGACTCTGCACTACAGAGAGCTAATTGCACTTGGTTCACCCTTTTGTTGGATAAAACTAGTATAGGCTCTTCAGGGAAAGATTTTAGCGCCTTATTGAAAATCTTGGCTGCTTTTCTTGTCCAAGGAAAAATTGTTCAAGTACAATTAGAGAAGACATTTTTCATCCCCCTGTTAATTTTTTTGCATTGTATAACCTAAATCAAAAAAAAAAAAAAACATTACATTAAGAATAATGATAAGTTAATCAAAAAAAAAAAAAAACATTAAGAATAATGATAAGTTTTAAGAGCCAACTTGGCATTTCAAAAGATGTTCTGCTATCGTTTTTTCTGCTAATACTGATTATCTCCATCTTTTTCTTCATTAGCCTCCATAGGCTTTTGGCTTGAAAGCCATTCTCACAATGATAAGAAGCAAAACTAATAATTTTGGAGTGCTACATCAACACTGCGCCTTCAAGGACAATTTCTCTATGGTTGCGGATGCAAAGAGCAATCTAGGGATCATCCCTAGACCTCCAAAAATTCAGTCCCTGATTCCTGCACAAAAGCACAGTGCCTTCCTCTAATAACAGAAATTAAATGAATTGGTTAAGAAAGGTTCTTGTTCACTTAGTCAGCATAACAAGGCATGCTTTATTGAAAATGGCTTATACGTGATAAGGAGCTTAGCTCATGCAGTGAAAGGCTTTTGATTTCTTCAATCAATCTTTATGCTTTTGAGTTCATTCAGCGCGCTTTATTAACTTTTTATACTCTTTCAGTTAATTATTTGGGCTCATAAATGAGAGTAGATTTAATATAAGCTTGTTTATTAACCTCTAAGTGGCACCCTTAAATGTAATCTTTACATCACCCAGGTCTGAATTAGGCAACTGCAATCTTATCATATTGAGATCTGTTAGAATTTAAAATGATGAGATCAGGATGGTTTCTTTTATGTATTTATCACTAATGTTTGTAGAACTTATTAATTATTTTTTCTGTTTTTGCCCAGCCAAAAATGATAGGGAAGGGTACCCACCCATTAAGGTTCTCGGAACCGGACGAGCATATTCCCGTAGTTGACAAGGCTGTGGATGCAGTATGGATAAAACAGGCTTCTAACAGGTCATCTCCACTGAAAGGTTTGTGATTTATTTTGGTAGTTGGCAGTAATCTGGGACAGCTATTCATTAAAATGTGTAAATTTTGTTGAGGAAGATTAGGGTTATCAATACCAGTAACCTTCACGTCAAATTGGCATGCATTTCCATGACACATTTTGCTTGTTATACAGCAAAAGCTTTTCAAAAAGCCATAAATTTGTAGCAGTTTGGAGTCTAATGAGAATGTAATGTTGCGAAGTTCTTCAATTATATAACTTGGAGAAGAATTGGCTGACATGGCTTGAACCCGACTTCTTAATAATCTGAAGTGGAAAAGCAATCTTATCTTACAATAAGGAATTGCAAAAAATAGACTAAGCTCTAATTTAACATTGCTAACTTTTGCCAAAAGGATGCACATTTCCCTTTCTTCAGAGGGCAAAGGGTTCATTTGAGTGCTTTCACACGACTTTGGCTTTTCATAAAGCTGCCTATTCTCTATTTGGCGAACATAACTTTTGTTTTTTCCAATTTTTTATGGTTAGAAGAAAGCTACTATCCAACTTATTCAAAAGGAATATGATTTATAATACCCAAAAGTAACTTTTAAAATATCAGTTTTTTCAACTCTACAACTATTTTTACCGACAATTATAGCCATTCAAATAGACCCTTAGTGTTCCAGCTTAATCTCCTAGCCTTAGATTTACTTGGTTTTGGGTCAGGGTTAAGAATTTAGTTTTGAGGATTTTTAGGCTTTAGATATGCAGTTGCTCCTCTCATCATATTTGATACATCCATAGATTTATTCCCCCATTTTTCTTGGGTTCACAAGCACTGAAGCTAATTTTGGTGAAGCAGGTGAAGCATGTTTGGCAGATCCTCACAAGTCTCCAGATGGAGCTCGAGCACAAGTACTTGCATGTATTGTGACCATTGCCATGACTCTACTTACACTGTTTCGTGCTGCCACCAGTTTTGCAACAAAGAAGCTTCAACAAGCAAACTGTGAATCTCATTGGCATGATGCTGAATTAGTTAAAAACACTAATCCCAAGGAGTTTAGACGATCAGCCAGCCACGGTTTCACAGAGGCTAATCTCTCCTCTGTTCTAAAGAGGCTAGATGAGCTAGAAAAAAAATTTGACCTTCTTCAATCTAAGCCACCAAAAATGCCTTATGAGAAAGAAGAGTTGCTCAATGCCGCTGTTTGCCGCGTGGACGCATTAGAAGCTGAACTTATTGCTACCAAAAAGGTATTGTTTCTTACCTATGGAAATGATATTATTTTATTCGAGTATTATGCCATCCATCCATTTGTTTAACTTATTTCTGCGATTTATACATCAGTTCCCCTGAATTATATTACAGTTGATTTTTTATAATCCCTTTGTTTTGTTTTATTCTAATACTATCCCATTGGTTGGATAGGCTTTTTATGAGTCTCTAATGAGGCAAGAGGAACTGTTGGCATTTTTTGATCGTCAGGAAGAAGAGAAGCTTCGGGTTAGTATAGACCGTATGTCTATTTTACCAATGTTCATCACTTAACCGTTGACCTATATCTTACTGTATGTTTGTGCGCATTTGTTTCTGCAGAGGAAGAAACGTTGCCTCTGAAGGAAACTAGCCGTTCTGGCATTCTCCTTCTTTGATGAGAGAAAAAAAATAATTGAATATTTATTTATTGAAGGATTCTCTTGCTTGCCTCTTGGGACGGTATAAAGTTTGCAATAAATATAAGCTTCCATCCACTTGTAAACACTATTTTTTCCACTTTTTATTTCCGTCTCTGCTACTTTTCAAACATTCGTATGAGTGACAAAAATGAGGATATTTTGTGATTCTTATTTTAGTATTGGTTTGGTGTCTTATTTTATTATTGGTTTGGTGTTATCTTTGAGAATTGATGAAAAATGAAAGATGGTAAATTGGACATTTATTTTTTTCTGGATGGTTCGTAGTTGCAAAATATTTTAGATTAGCTATTCACAGTACCAAAAGCCCCACTCATAGGACAGCCCTAACATTGGTTGACACGTAGTGTTGCTGAGTCCGTTGAGAGTTGCGAGTGCACAAAAATGTTGAAAGCTTCTTTGCTCAACAAGAATTTTTTGTAGCTCCCCAATGATTAATTTTCAGTTTGTAAGAGATGCAGTAAATTAAATTTTTCTGATGTCCATCTTCCAAGTAGCTTTTTTATGGCAGGATTCGAAACATCTCAAAGCCTAACCGAAGGTTTAGCCACTATAAATTTAGGGCCCGTTTGTGGCAGTTTATAAATGCGAACGACATTTTTAAAACGCCGCATCACTGTTTGGAAAATACGTTTCGGCAATTTATTCGAAAACACAGTCGGGTTTTTACACTAAACGCAGATAGTGAGTCGAATCCCTCGGGCCACCCGAGGGTCGCGTTTTAGGATAAACTGCTTGTTTGAATAAACACAAACTGCTCTAATTGCACCCTTAATTTAGGTTCCCTGATTATAGGTTGACATTTTTCACTCAAATTAAGTATATTAAATTAGAAAATAAAGATCCAATTTTTATGTTCTTACATATCTAACATTTAAAGTTTAATATTTACATATATACTTTTCAAATTGTAATTTCACAAAAGAATATCATTATTATTAAAATTTTAACCGTGAAATATATCATTTCATGCATAAATAAAAATTATAAATATAAATATGTGATATACGTAAATAGACAAGAGCTATATGACATATATGTAAATCTTTCTTTGTAATTTTTCAGCTGAAGGCTAGAAGAAATAATTTGCCCTGTTCTTGAATTTACTTTTTGGAGGCACCTGAGAACTCTAAAATCCATCTCATATCCATAATATTCGTTCTATCCTACTTCGTTTTCTATTTTCTAATGAGCTATAAGGCGGATCTTGTTGTTCTCGAGCCTTAGTATTGATCAAGCAACCTTCATTGTTTGTTCAGCTCTTACCCTATTCTTCATTTACAAAGCCTTCATTTTCTTTGATAAATCAACCAAATTTCTTGACATATTTATCTGATCGAGAGCCCTTAGCTATAAAATCATAGCATCATCTATTCACATTCTTTGTTCGTAGTACCACAATGGAACACATGATAATTGTTTGCAAACCCCATCACACCACAATTGATCAAATGGTAATGGTTTGCAACACTTTTTTAACCAAATTTCTCGACATGTTTATCTGTCCGAGAGCCACTTAACTATAAAATTATAGCATATCTTTTCACAATCTTTGCTAGTAGCACTACAATTGATTAAATGATTATTATTTGTAAACCTGTCACACCACAATTGATCAAATGATTGCCGAGACTCTTATCAAGAAAACCAAGGGTAATCCATCATCCACAAAAAAGATGTTAATTCATCCCAACCAAGCCAAGGTATAATCTCACCCCTCTTATTTCAATTAGTTGTCGGTCGCTTTAATGTTTGAAAATAATTTTGTAGTTTAATATACATATAATTTTGATTTCGGAAATAGTATTTTACTTTTTAAAAAATATGGGAATAACAAGATCTCATACATTTGATAGTTTAAGTGATCGAACAAGACACTACAAATAATGCACCGTCACAAGAGATAGGCATACTACTTGACTGTGATCTCGATCATATAAACTAATGAAATTTATGATATCCGTTTGGTTTGCGAATCTACTGTACGACCAACAGGTTCTCCTATCTAATATAGAAAGGTTAGACAGGGTTTATATTACTTTGGTTCTAAAGTTTCCTATAAGGGCAAACCCTTTTAGTTAATTACATCCTAATTGACCGAAGTCATGTAAGAAAATTATCAATAAAGATCATGGTTTTTGTCCTCAAGATAGTAAAAGTTTGGGGTTTCAAGGTAGTTTGTAAAGAATACCAAGTGGGAAAGGATCAAGTAAGAACTGTTACTTTATGAATCAAAGGAGTAAAGACTAGGAGATATCATAGAACAGAGGCAAACCTCAACAACTTCCTAAGCTATCATACTGTTATGCTTTATATTTTCAAAGAAAAATTATTTATGTTCAATCCTGTTAATTATTAATTATAGGGCTTATACTTGCATAATATCTAACTTTGCAAATGACCTAAAAGATAGAAGAATTTACGTTGTATCAGACGATGACCTCGGAATCCTAAGGCGAGTTAAGACTTATATTGCACAATGTACAAAAGCCTAAAAGATAGAGTGAGGGTTTATGTCGCACCAGACAGACTACTATGAAGTTTTATAGCTTGTTTGTTTAATTCTAAGGAATGATTTAGCTGATGTAGACTTGTTTTGTTGTTTTTGACTTATTTTGCTGTTGTAAATCGTCGTCCTCTGCTTGTAACTCACTCTAAGCTCCTCGTCGAGGTAACAACTTCAAGGACTATGTGTGTAATGAATTATGATCGTTCATGTTTTATATTTTGGTTTTATTTGTCATTATTGTTCAAATATTTGGGGTGGGGGGATTTTAATTTAAGTTAGGCAACACTAGTCATGATCCTACGGTTTCGTCGTCCCGATACCACTATTTTGTATTTAGTTTACTTAGTCTAAACAAGCGGTTAAATTTATTTAGACCATAGAATTCTTGTTAGCAATTGTAGGTTGCCTCATCCGAGAGATCCTCGTAAACTCAAAAGGAGTAAGTAAAGTGTGTTCGAAAGGTTTAAAGGTGTATTATTATTTTTGAAAGTGTATTTTTGCTGTTTTGCTTTGCATGTAAAACGAAGCATACATGAGTAAGAGAATGCTATAAGGTAAAGTAGTAAAAGTGCAATAAATAAATTATGGGGTGCGTACTTGATGCTTTTGCTGCAGCTGCATGGGTTAGTAGCATAAACTTGGTATAACAAAGTGCAGGAGTCTTAACAAACTGCAAAAAAATTTGAAACAAAAGAAACTCAAAACAAGTCATCAAAGAAAAAAATACGAGCAAGTAAAACAAAGCCCGATGTTACATATAAAAGGCCGAGACTATGTGTATAACATTAGTAGAGGTGGGGGCCCAGAGCTGGGTTATGTACTTTTCTATCCAACACCGACAAAAACCACAAACCTAGCAATCTGAGGAAAGGTAACTCCTAACCTCGATCCAAGTGATTAGTCTGTGGACCTTTATAAGATTTCATAAAAAATATTTTAGCTTTTCATGCAAATAGCTTTACTTAACTTTCAAAAGTAATTACGTCACGAAAAGGATTTATGTTAGGTTCACAGTGTTATGCACGTTTTGTAAAACACTATATTCCATGAGCTAATCACTCTAATCACGTTGGGAGTATCAGCAACCTAAGAGAGTGATACACTAAAATAATATGTAGTTTTAAGTATATATTTTATGCTTATTTTTGTTGATATTGCACTTTAAAGAAAAGTATTTTCATTATTTTTATTGCAGATATATCAATTTTAGGTATTTCAAACAAAAGTAGCAAAAAGGAAGAAATTTGGAGCCCAAATAGCAAATTTTGGGATTCTAGCGTAAAATGCGCCAACATATAGAGAAGTGGCGCAAGATTCGCTAGATGCGCCAAAACCCAAAACAATACGGTCTTTAGCAACCTGGCACTAGATGCGCCATTTGACAAAGAGCTGGCACAAGATGCGCTAGAGATGATTTTTTGCGGATTAAGTGGCGGCTCAAGACAAATTTTACGTGAATTTCAAATGGGACACTAGTTCTAAATACACTTTAGATTGATTCAATGTATCTAGACACTTTGGAAGGTTATTTTATGAAGAGATGTGTCTCTTGGATAAATGGACACATCTTTTGATTTCAAAAGAGTAGACTTTTGGATAGAATTTTGGAGGGGGGAATTTTGAATTCTTTTTGGAGGGAGACAACCTCTAATAAAAGAAGAGGACTTCTAAAGTGTGTGTGTGTGGCATGTGAAGGGGGGCAAAAAAATGGATAGAGAGAGAGAGAGAGAGACAAGTCAAGGGCTTGGAGATTTTCTTTAAAGATTATAAGAGGAGAGATAAGTTCGTGTTTTTTCATATCCTTCTCATGAATTTTGAGTAGTTTTCTTTATCCTTCTCCCTAATTTGAGATATGATTTTGTGAAGAATTGATTTTATTTTATATGATTTTAAATGTCAATAATTTGTGATGATTTGAACTCCGATCTTCATTTACTTTTCAATCTGACCAATTGAAATGTTAAAATGTATTGAGCAACATATGTTCCGAAAGGGCTATAATTTCTACAACATTGGGAGCATCACATTTGATTTCATGGGAGAGTATGTCATCCATGGAGTTGGGTGCAAATAAATAGGGAAATATACTTTGTTGGATGCAGAATTGGAGATTTTAAGGTGACAAATTAAAATCCTCAATTTGATCCAGTTTATTGGAAACTGGCGCGAGATTATTAGCCCTCGCAGCAGGTATCCTCTCAGCCTAACTACAAAATTAGGGACCAAACTCTGGATTAGTCAATGTTCTTTATGAGCTCGGAAGAGGGTATAGAATAAAATTGCTCCTATTTGGCACAAATTAGTTTTTATATATATTTTCAAAATATTTTAATTTCTTCACAAATCAATATACCCATAATAAAGGGGAAGGATGCTTTCATAAATTTGAACTTTCTGTCACAAAAACTTTGTTTAGTTTTCGTAAGTTTACTTTTGAAAGTTTAGAATTTAGTTTAGTTGATTTTGTCTTTCAACAACATTTTAACTAACATTCGCTCTAGTATTTAATATTCAAATTTTGCATTTTACTTTTTGTAGCTTTAAAAATTGTAGTATACATTATAATCTTAAGAATTTACTTATAGGTATTTCCAACTTCCCCGTGGGATTGATATATAGGACTCCATTAGAGCCCTTTATTACTTGAGC